GCATTACCTGGCCATGACGTCGTCATTCAGGTCGGGTGATCAGCTGTTTGTGTGTCTGGGCCCCAAGAACAGGGGCGCCCCGCTGTCGGCTCAGCGGCTGGCGCATTGGGTCGCCACGGCGGTGCGACGGGCGTATCAGGCGCAGGGCCTGGCCCCCCCGGTGGGTTTCAGGTCGCATTCCACGCGTGGGATGGCGGCCTCTACGGCCCTTCTCAGGGGGGCGTCGGTCGAGGACGTTTGCCGTGCGGCTTCTTGGGCGTCGTCCTCCTCTTTCGTCCGGTCTTATCTTTCGGATGTGTCGGACCGGTCGGTGGCCCATTCCGTGCTGAGTGCAGCGGATTGAGTTGGACCGTTGGGTCCCTCCCCTGAGGAGTGGGCCTTCGGTCTATTTTTCCGCCCTGGTGCAGGAGCTCTTGGGAGAGGCATCCTACAGGTGCGGTACATATATGTGTGTTTGATCGGTCTGGTAGTCTACATCAGGAGCTCTTGGGAGAGGCGTCCTGTGACTACGGTTGACCTACGATTGGTGTTACGTGGGGGCGTCCTTGGTAGGAGTGGCCCGGTAACACGCTTTGTTTCTTCTGCCCTGAGTCCTCTCACGGTGTGAGGGTCTTGCTCGGGCGGAGCTCCAATCACCCTTCGCTGGCCTGCTGGGAGTACATGTTCCTACGGCCTCCGCGTTGTGTCCCACTAGCGAAGTCCTAAGGGACGTAGCACCATGACGTAGAATTAATAGTTACCTAATGTAACTTAAGTTCTACGAATAGGTGCGTAGTCCCTTAGCTACGAGCCCATCAGGCCAGCCCGGCTTGGCAGAGTTCAAGAGGGGGTGCGGCCTTGTGCAGGGGCATTTATAGAGGAAGGTGGCTGGTGATTGGAGCAAATTATTTTGATCTCTCTGGCGTCTGTGACCTGGGGGTCACGTGATATCCCACTAGCGAAGTCCTAAGGGACTACGCACCTATTCGTAGAACTTAAGTTACATTAGGTAACTATTAATTTTCCCGTGGCTCTGGGAGCAGTTAGGCTAGTAACAGTTAGGCTCGTAACAGTTAGGCTAGTAACAGTTAGGCTAGTAACAGTTAGGCTAGTAACAGTTAGGCTAGTAACAGTTAGGCTAGTAGCAGTTAGGCTAGTAGCAGTTAGGCTAGTAACAGTTAGGCTAGTAACAGTTAGGCTAGTGACATTTAGGCTAGTAACAGTTAGGCTAGGAACAGTTAGGCTAGCAACAGGCTAGAAACAGTTAGGCTAGTAACAGTTAGGCTCATAACAGTTAGGCTAGTAACAGTTAGGCTAGTAACAGTTAGGCTAGCAACTTCCAAACTAGAACTCTCTGGAACTGCATGAAAACTGAACAAAGAATCCTGAACATCAGCGGTGAGTGACCCAAACATAAACTTAGCCTAAATCCATAATTTGATCCACTGCAAATGTTCCTAAAATTTCCCAAAATCTACTTCCGGGATTTTCGCGATCGCTTTTTCTTGCATTAAAACAGTATTTTTGTCATGAAAACCTGAACAGATACTTCTGAAAACCTTTGTGCATGTGTTTTAAGAATGTAAATACATAATGTATTCTCCCATTAACATTTAAGGGTGTTGATTGATTGGTATTTGTTTATTGAGCGTGGCTAGCTCCGGAGTGGCCGGAACTACTTGCGGAGTAATCTACACATGTGAATTACGAGCAGAGGGTGTTTTGCCAAAGGGCAGCGGTCATTATTGGTTTGAGAGGTCCGTTATAAGAAATAATGACCGGTAGAACATTTTGAAATTACATTCAGATCAATGGAGCGTTCTCCCGCTGCTGTGAGGAGCTGTGGAATAATTATTTATATAGCGCACACGCCAAGGTCACACCAAGAGCTTTACAGTGTTTCTGGTGTGCACTAAGACTGAAAAAACCTGCACTGCTATTGCCACTCTTTCTTTTATTGCCACTTTTTTATTGCACATAATTATATCCTGCACAGACTATGTTTTTAACCTTTAACATGCTGCACATTCTGTCTTTTGCACAATCTGAGTGACTCTTTCCATGCCAATGTGACATTTCTCCAGTGTGAGATTAATAAGGTCTTTCCTATCTTATATTTTGTAATTCATTCCATTGAAGCCTCCAACCCTCACAACTTCACTCACTCAAGACTTTCAAATCTATGTGTTTAGTTGAAGGGGAAACCAGAGCACCCGGAGGAAACCTACACAGACACGGGAAGAACATGCAAACTCTACACAGAAAGGCCTGGAGGTGGTACTGAACCTTCTTGCGCAAGCTCTAACCTCAGTGCCACCACCAACATGTGTGATCATGGAAAGAAATTAGGGCTGTCAAAATTATCGCGTTAACTCACATGAATTAAATTTTTCATTAACGCGTTAAAACAAAATTAACGCATTAACGCAAGTCCGAATGACCCGCCCATTTATCCTTAATATCACTCAGAATGCTGCGTGTGAGATGCATCAGAGCAGATTCATGTTATAAAAGAACAAGCGCGTCACCGCGGGGCTGTTGTTTGCTGTGGACTGAGGTCCGCCTCCTCCGTGGCCGCTCTGGCTGTGAGCCGCTCACAACAACACGGCTGTGAGTGAGTGGCGCCGCGGTAACATGGTCATATAAGACCATACACGCCACAGAACTATTGCCTGCATGCTGTGTTCGTGTCTTTGCAACCTGTGCGTAACCTGTGCACGCAAATACACTGCGGAAGTGTCCCTGTCTCCTCCTGAAACTAAACTAAACTCGCTGAATTAAAGCTGGGGTATGTAAATTTCCCCTTTTCATTAACAGCTCATGTTGGTTTTGCCCAAAAGCAAAAGGTTGTGAGCAAATCTAACAGATTTAAGTACATTTGTTATGAATGACAATGTGGTATGAATGACATTTGATAATCTCATTTAACTTCAATTGGAGTGGATTTGAAATAGAATGTTAAAAATGTGATTAATCGTGAGTTAACTCACCATTTCTGTGCGATTAATCAACTAAAACATTTTAATCGCTTGACAGCCCTAAAAGAAATACATACAATTCATGAATAATTTCTATAATTGTTATGAGATAGTTACATTTTTGAGCGAGTCAAGTATTTATATGGTAGGTTGAAAAACAATATGACAAAATAAATAAATCTCAATGTTGATGCCCTGTATGAATATTTTCAACTTTTGTATTTAAAAAAAATTACACTTTTTTATTTCGTAATTTTATGTGTTTAGAATGTGAAATAATATATACAGTAGAAGATATATGGTGAAACACATACAAAATGAAAATAATGCTTTCTCTATGCCTACGCTACCAGATTTGTAGTGTTTTTGTCCATATTTGAATGTCATAGTCGGGTCTAACCAGAGTCTTGTCTTCAAAAGGCGTCTGTGTCTCTTTGTGAAATGAGAGAATTGATGCAAGCGAAGTTGTCTGGAAACCTGCTGTTCTGTGTGGACTGCCCTCACTCACGTTGCACAACTCTGCTCGACTATGGACGCCCAGGAAGCAAAACCTGGAGTAGAAACTAGAACCTTCTCCAGATGCCCTCGAGTACCGGCCCCTTCCACACTCTCTGTCATAAAGTAGCACTGCTCCTCTATGGAACTTGCGACCTTGCAAACGCCGTAACCTTCGTCCGATCTTTATTAGATGCTGAGGTATTACACACACTTATCAATACAGACCCCTTCTACTGAATCGATAAATCCATTAGGTCCAACCCTCGGCGGCACAATTACCTCATAAACATGGACAATCTCAGATCACTGGGCAGGACTGAGGCAGATTACAGCCGTTAAAAACCCCATGTTCACCTTAGGTCTGTGCCAGGCTCTTTCTACGGTCCACACATGCACCTACAGTTTACCATAGACTGTACATAGATAGATAATCCTGTCCCTTTGGCTCGGGCAGGTCAAATCCGGCCCGCAAGATCATTTTTTGTGGCCCTCTAAAATTATTGTTATCATCATAAACTTGCACTATCGATAGTCATGGTCCATGGCATGTTATACATAATCTATTTTCACAGGAAAACAAAAAAATACCTTCATAACGTAAAACACATAACATCTTATTCTTTCAGCCCCCGACCAGTTCCTATTTTTTTCCTTCGGCCCCTGACCAGAATGAGTTTGACGGCTCTGCTCTAACTCAACGAAGCCCAATAGGAAAGTGCTCATAGACAAAGTTTTGCTCGAACTTGCGCTGGCTCTCATTGATCTAAATGTCAGAAACCTTTTGTCTCACACTCACCATTTTGGGAGTTAAAAGTCCAAGGTCTAGCGCTGTCTATTTTTCTGCTGTTTATATTGTGGTGCTGTCTTTGTGAATCCAGATATGAGCGCAAACCGACCAATCAGGAGCCTTCTGTCGCAGATTACCGGTGTAGCTAGCGAGCAGCGCGAGTGGGGATAGGCCGACGCTAAAACTGGGGGATGTCACACTTGGTCAGTCTACTCCTAATATACCCTCTATCACTGAAAAAAAATAAAAATAAAAAAATATATATGAAAATAAGTAAAATACTGCTGAAAAAAAGAAACAATATTTGCCAACAGAACAAGAAAATATGACTTGACAAGATTTCGTAAAAATTGAAATTACTAGCCCCAAATGACTTGACTTTAGTGTTAAAAAAAAGTGTTATTTGCATGTTTCTTAACATTTTTGATATTTTCTTTCTTAAAAAATAGCATCACAAACTTATTTTATCTAAACAAGAAAAGTTGTCTGGAAATAAGAAAAAAATACTTAAAACAAGCTTAAAAACTCACAGCTTAGATTATGAAGTATATTATCTTAAAACTAGAAAAATAATCTTATACAACTAACTACATTCAAGCAACAACAAAAATAATAAAATAAAACTTACCATTAAAAAAATAGGCATAATTTATGTTATTTTTTTATTTCACTTTTTTCAGGCCTGAACATAAATTCACCAGCTTCTGATTGGTTCTGGACGGTGTGAGCTGTGGAAGTGTCTAAATGGTGGATCGTACCTTTTCAAGAGAGGCTGATGGTGTGATTGGAATGGGAGGTCCGATAATGAGCTCATTAAAGAAGGTATCTGTGAAAAGGGGAGACAACAATTAGCAAAGTGCAAAGAGTAATCCATAGATCGTGTGATAGTGGGTTGGTTTGTGTTTGTGTTTTTACAGCCAAGCCAGTCTACAGGATAAACAGATATTATCATTATATGAATAGGCCAATGTCATCAAATCAGACAAGAAAATGTAATTGTTATTATCTGCTTCCCTTTTTTTTTATCTCAGTTTCTAAGTTTTAGTTTTCAAATGAGAAAAAGTCAACAAAGCATTGTAATTACTTTTGAAAGTTTAAAATTGGAAATTGGAAAAAATTCAGATGGAAAATAATTAATGTTGTTGTTTAACTTGTGCACTTAAAGCTGTGGTACCTGATATTTAAACACAAGAGGGAATTAAAATTGATCCAAATAATTCCTATTTATGAAGCGACGGTGGCTCTGTTGGTGGTTTGTGGGTTCAAGCCCATCACAAGACCTTCTCCACCGACTCCCGCTGATGTCTGCTGTCGTTGTGTCCTTGGGCAAGACACTTAACCCCACTAAATAAGACTGAATTCACATGGGCTACCCTGTAGAACTCAATGTAAACAAAAACAGCTCAACCTCAGCTGACAGAGAACCTGACAGAGAACCTATAGCTTTCATAAAGGTCAGATTCTGTGGGGATTATAGTATCCCTTGTCATCCTGAACTTTTTTTCTTCTTAAATCCTTTGGTTTTCTACAAACTCTGCTGGATCGTCTCCCGCTGTGGCTCTGCTCTGGCTCTGCTCTGATTGGTCAGAGCGTGCCGAGCCCCTCTGTGCACGTGCATGAGAGCCACACATATATTTAGCGCAAAGCATCATGGGATCCGTCCACTGCGCAGAACCGGGAGGACCCGAGAAATGAACCAAATATAGGCAAGTTCCGCTAATCTTTCGGTGCCCACGGTGTCACATGCGCTACTGAGCATAAGCCATTCATTTGAATAGGACGCCATCTTGGATCACCGGGGCTTGTGTTCAACTCCGACTGCCACCCTCCCAACCCAAAAATGGATAAAGGGGAAGAAGATGGATGGATGGAATTCCTATCTATCACAAACAAACTACATGGATAAGAAATATGACTCATAAAACACTCATGAACAGCCCATCAGCCCACACTCTGTCAAATGTGCCAAAAAGTGACTCAGGTGACTTGTCAGAAAAAAAAAAAAAAAAAGTCAACGTTTTTACAATTTGATGGAGATTGTGAGTAGTGTCTAATTGTCTCTCCAAAGTTTTATGTCTATATGCACTTTCTGGAGACTGTCGTTGTTGCTGTTGGGTAGCTCAGCTTGAACCTCACATGCACAGAAGCCAGGGACAGTATAGATTCAGAGAGTAAGGGAAAACAGCACAAAGTCTATGAATAATATCATAATATAACTTTCCCCAAGTGCTGTGTGCAGCTGTTTTGGGCTCGTAACTCATAAAGAACTCCTACCTTTGGTGACAACACAGTATTAATGTACCATTGCAACACATTTGGGAGCTTTAGTTTGGCCAAATGTACTTTTCCTCACCTCTGTCATTAGAATAACCAGGGTTGACCTTCCCCTCTCTCACCCCGGCAACCGCAGTCCTCCCGAGCTCCGATTGGCCGAATCTGCAAACATCCATATGAACGGACCAATCAGAGGTGCTAACCTTTAACTCACATCTGCAGCAGTCGTTCCGTGGGAGTGTAGGTAGCAGGTAATTTCATTTTTCTCATAACGACAACATTTCAACTTTTTTTTTTTTTATAGTGCCCTAAGGGATAAACCTGAAGCTATCAAAACGACTCAAGCTTAAAAATGTATTTGACTGTAGAAAATGGCTGACGAACTCAAAAACAGCATTCCTTATGTAGCAAAGTCAATTTTAGTGACCTCTCTCAAACCTCTACAGTGTATTTTTATTTGTTTTATTAAGTTACAAAGTTATTACTGTATTTTTATTACAAGTTTTATTATTTTATGATTGTTTTTTAGTCGTGGTCTTTGATTCGTTCGTTGTGCCGCTTTGGTCCTCCAGCCACTCCTGTGTTTTTATTACTTCTTCGTGTACCCCCCGTCCTCCACTATAAATTCAGGGTTTTCCCGCTGCTTCTTCCCTTTGAAATCCTGTGTCGGGGAAGAAGTCAGTCACTTTAAGTTGTTATGTCTCAAAATGTCTATTTGAATTATAATTTTGTAGTTATTTACGCTTTGTATGTCTTTTTAGTTTGGGCTGGGACTGATGCAGAGGCACATGTTTGGGAGTAATTTAATTTTGTGACCAGATAAAAGAACGCCTCGACACTTACTTATCAACTTCTCATATTTACAGCTAACACTTTGAATTGTAACGACTTAGCTAAATTTGAATGTGGGTATAATTAAAAAATGCTATGTTTTATAATGAGAGAAAACTACATTAGCATTAGCCACACATGCTAAATTGACTTATGGCTGTGTCTTAGCTCTATATGAAACAAATAGCTAGCGTTACCTTATGTTCGGCTGCGGGCCCGCTTCTGAAAAACAAGAAAACAACGCGGCATGACTTGTTAATTCTTTGTTGTCAGTTCGCAGTGGCAAAAGTTGTAAATGCGCTAACGTTTATTAGCTTTAGCCTTAGCTGCAATACATTAGCCCGGAGTGAATTGCGACTGAAAAGTGAACGCTGTAATGAGTTCTGTATAATGGTTTGTCGCGGTCGCCAAAGGTGCTTTAAGGCCTCTTTTACAAAAGCACAGGCGTATACAGGCGCGATGCAGATGGAGCTCGCCCCGGGAAGTGTCCAAACGACTTTTTTTACAGGATAAGGATCGGCTCGGTCATTAGATTAAAGTCTCTGCTGCTGCTGTGCGGTCCAAAGTCTTGACCGTAGGCTTCGGAGTAAACAGAAGTATGTGACATCACCGGTTTATGGGGATAAAGTTCAATAAGGGCATTACAAAGTTATTCTTACTACTTTAACTACTCCATATGTCAACACATTATGACCATAAACACATGGTATAGGAATCTTTTATTATTAATGATATAATTATGGGGAAAAAAGCTGAGGTCTGTAACTTTAGTCTCATTAATAACGTGTTTAAAGCTGAGGTCTGTAACTTTAGTCTCATTAATAACGTGTTTAAAGCTGAGGTCTGTAACTTTAGTCTCATTAATAACATGTTTAAAGCTCAGGTCTGTAACTTTAGTCTCATTAATAACATGTTTAAAGCTGAGGTCTGTAACTTTAGTCTCATTAATAACACATGTTTAAAGCTGAGGTCTGTAACTTTAGTCTCATTAATAACATGTTTAAAGCTGAGGTCTGTAACTTTAGTCTCATAAATAACATGTTTAAAGCTGAGGTCTGTAACTTTAGTCTCATTAATAACATGTTTAAAGCTGAGGTCTGTAACTTTAGTCTCATTAATAACACATGTTTAAAGCTGAGGTCTGTAACTTTAGTCTTATTAATAACATGTTTAAAGCTCAGGTATGTAACTTTAGTCTCATTAATAACATGTTTAAAGCTGAGGTCTGTAACTTTAGTCTCATTAATAACACATGTTTAAAGCTGAGGTCTGTAACTTTAGTCTCATTAATAACATGTTTAAAGCTGAGGTCTGTAACTTTAGTCTCATAAATAACATGTTTAAAGCTGAGGTCTGTAACTTTAGTCTCATTAATAACATGTTTAAAGCTGAGGTCTGTAACTTTAGTCTAATTAATAACACATCTTTAAAGCTCAGGTCTGTAACTTTAGTCTAATTAAAAACACATGTTTAAAGCTGAGGTCTGTAACTTTAGACTCATTAATAACATGTTTAAAGCTCAGGTCTGTAACTTTAGTCTCATTAATAACATGTTTAAAGCTCAGGTCTGTAACTTTAGTCTCATTAATAACATGTTTAAAGCTCAGGTCTGTAACTTTAGTCTCATTAATAACATGTTTAAAGCTGAGGTCTGTAACTTTAGTCTAATTAATAACACATCTTTAAAGCTCAGGTCTGTAACTTTAGTCTCATTAATAACATGTTTAAAGCTGAGGTCTGTAACTTTAGTCTCATAAATAACATGTTTAAAGCTGAGGTCTGTAACTTTAGTCTCATTAATAACATGTTTAAAGCTGAGGTCTGTAACTTTAGTCTCATAAATAACATGTTTAAAGCTGAGGTCTGTAACTTTAGTCTCATTAATAACATGTTTAAAGCTCAGGTCTGTAACTTTAGTCTCATTAATAACATGTTTAAAGCTGAGGTCTGTAACTTTAGTCTCATAAATAACATGTTTAAAGCTGAGGTCTGTAACTTTAGTCTCATTAATAACGTGTTTAAAGCTGAGGTCTGTAACTTTAGTCTCATTAATAACATGTTTAAAGCTGAGGTCTGTAACTTTAGTCTCATTAATAACATGTTTAAAGCTCAGGTCTGTAACTTTAGTCTAATTAATAACACATCTTTAAAGCTCAGGTCTGTAACTTTAGTCTAATTAATAACACATGTTTAAAGCTGAGGTCTGTAACTTTAGTCTAATTAATAACACATCTTTAAAGCTCAGGTCTGTAACTTTAGTCTCATTAATAACATGTTTAAAGCTGAGGTCTGTAACTTTAGTCTCATTAATAACATGTTTAAAGCTGAGGTCTGTAACTTTAGTCTAATTAATAACACATCTTTAAAGCTCAGGTCTGTAACTTTAGTCTCATTAATAACACATGTTTAAAGCTGAGGTCTGTAACTTTAGTCTAATTAAAAACACATGTTTAAAGCTCAGGTCTGTAACTTTAGTCTCATTAATAACATGTTTAAAGCTGAGGTCTGTAACTTTAGTCTCATTAATAACACATGTTTAAAGCTCAGGTCTGTAACTTTAGTCTCATTAATAACACATGTTTAAAGCTCAGGTCTGTAACTTTAGTCTCATTAATAACATGTTTAAAGCTGAGGTCTGTAACTTTAGTCTAATTAATAACACATCTTTAAAGCTCAGGTCTGTAACTTTAGTCTCATTAATAACATGTTTAAAGCTGAGGTCTGTAACTTTAGTCTCATAAATAACATGTTTAAAGCTGAGGTCTGTAACTTTAGTCTCATTAATAACACATGTTTAAAGCTGAGGTCTGTAACTTTAGTCTCATTAATAACATGTTTAAAGCTGAGGTCTGTAACTTTAGTCTCATAAATAACATGTTTAAAGCTGAGGTCTGTAACTTTAGTCTCATTAATAACATGTTTAAAGCTCAGGTCTGTAACTTTAGTCTAATTAATAACACATCTTTAAAGCTCAGGTCTGTAACTTTAGTCTAATTAATAACACATGTTTAAAGCTGAGGTCTGTAACTTTAGTCTAATTAATAACACATCTTTAAAGCTCAGGTCTGTAACTTTAGTCTCATTAATAACATGTTTAAAGCTGAGGTCTGTAACTTTAGTCTCATTAATAACATGTTTAAAGCTGAGGTCTGTAACTTTAGTCTAATTAATAACACATCTTTAAAGCTCAGGTCTGTAACTTTAGTCTCATTAATAACACATGTTTAAAGCTGAGGTCTGTAACTTTAGTCTAATTAAAAACACATGTTTAAAGCTCAGGTCTGTAACTTTAGTCTCATTAATAACATGTTTAAAGCTGAGGTCTGTAACTTTAGTCTCATTAATAACACATGTTTAAAGCTCAGGTCTGTAACTTTAGTCTCATTAATAACACATGTTTAAAGCTCAGGTCTGTAACTTTAGTCTAAATAACACATGTTTAAAGCTGAGGTCTGTAACTTTAGTCTCATTAATAACACATGTTTAAAGCTGAGGTCTGTAACTTTAGTCTCATTAATAACACATGTTTAAAGCTCAGATCTGTAACTTTAGTCTCATTAATAACATGTTTAAAGCTGAGGTCTGTAACTTTAGTCTCATTAATAACACATGTTTAAAGCTGATGTCTGTAACTTTAGTCTCATTAATAACATGTTTAAAGCTGAGGTCTGTAACTTTAGTCTCATTAATAACATGTTTAAAGCTGAGGTCTGTAACTTTAGTCTCATTAATAACATGTTTAAAGCTGAGGTCTGTAACTTTAGACTCATTAATAACATGTTTAAGGCTGAGGTCTGTAACTTTAGACTCATTAATAACATGTTTAAAGCTCAGGTCTGTAACTTTAGTCTAATTAATAACACATGTTTAAAGCTGAGGTCTATAACTTTAGTCTCATTAATAACACATGTTTAAAGCTCAGGTCTGTAACTTTAGTCTCATTAATAACATGTTTAAAGCTCAGGTCTGTATCTTTAGTCTCATTAATAACGTGTTTAAAGCTGAGGTCTGTAACTTTACTCTCATTAATAACGTGTTTAAAGCTCAGGTCTGTAACTTTAGTCTCATTAATAACATGTTTAAAGTTCAGGTCTGTAACTTTAGTCTCATTAATAACATGTTTAAAGCTCAGGTCTGTAACTTTAGTCTCATAAATAACAAATGTAGTTTGAATAGAAAGTCTCAAGTCCTTGTGAGTCACTATCTGCCTGTTTGGGCTGAGAGCTGATTGGCTGAGAGCTGATTGGCTGAGTGAGGGTGGTCGTCTCTTTGAAAGATGTGACAAAGACAGACAAACATGAAACTAGTGACAGAAGTAATTGTTTTAGAGCCAGAGCCAGAGACATGGGTTTAATACAGAGATGACCCATTAAACCTTTGTGAGTTTGGTCAGTTTTTCCCTATTGTTGATGCTAAAGTAATGAATGCAATTACTTCATATTTATGGGATTTGTCCTGACAGAAGGAAAAAATCCACCCCAGCTCAATACATGTCTACTGTCCCGGGTACAGACTCCCCAGCTCCGATGCAGCTCCTCCAGAGTCACCATTGGCCTCGTGCTGCATCTGTGACAGTCTTCTTTGTTTGATAGATTTTCTGTTCTTCCTTTTTCTTTACTCATTCCCAGATGATGGATTATACCGGGCACTTTCAGCTGTCCAAAGCTTGGGAAACCTTTGTAAAAACCCAACCATGCTTTAAACTTCTCCACACCTTCGTCCCTGACCTGTGTGGACTCGGGTTTTTGGTCTTCATGACAAACCTCGGAGGACTTCTTTAAGATTGTAGAATGAATTGTCCTTGTTTAAACACATACAAACAGTTAATGTAAGGGTATTGGGTTGAAGTACATCAGTTAACAGGTAGCATGTGCGGCCCCTGGTTTATAACAGTGACGTTTTTTGAAAAAGCGGTTGAACTGAAGGACTTGTCAGCTGTCTGTTTGTGCTGTTTTTCCCTGTTCTCTGGAGACATGAAAGTGATAGTCTGTAACTCTAAATGAATTACAAATTTTAGGAAATGTGTTAAATTGACCTCCTGGCCTTAAATGTTTATATAAAATAAGTCATTTTATTAATTCTAATATTACATTTAAGTCCCGCCTTCCCTTCTCTTAGCTATAGCTCAGAATCCACGATGCCGTCCATGTTAACCAATCGAGTCATACCAAGGGCTGTCAATCATCGGCACTGATGCTCGTAGCTGCTCATGCTCAGTTGTT